CCTGCTGCCTGCGCCCACCCCACGGACCAGTCCCGGGTGCCCCAGGGCCACAAGGTCGGTCGTAGCCCCCTCGTCCCGGCCAGCGCCTGGGCCTGAGGGGGCCTGAACCCCGACTTCAGAATCAGTTCTTGGGTTCAGGGATGCTCTGGGGATTTCCTCTCCCCCTTGTGCTACCCACCCTAATACATCTTCCCATCTTCTTCCTCCCCTCTGCCAGGACTTGATTTCCCCTTATGCCATCAGTCAAACCTCATGAGCAGTCACCGTGGCTATGGGTTGGTGCCAGGAACCGAGCACTCAGGCGGTGGTGATGGTAAGTCTCCAGTCTTGGGAGGGCATGGGGCAGATAGGAGTTCTACAAGGAGTTTAGGCATCTCCTGGGGATTGTGTTGTGTCAGGAGTACAGGTGTGTGTGCTGAGGGGATTGGGCAGTGCTGGGGACAGTGACGCCTGTGATGAGGGAGGAGACTGCTGGGGCTTCAGGTATCTTTCCTGGAACAATGATGGCTGTGTGAACAGGAGGATTTATGTTGGCTGTGGCCAAAGGGATCAGGCACTTTTCTTGGGATGATATCAGCTGTAGCAGGGAGTACATGTGTGTCAAGGGGTTCAGGTACCCCCTAGGAACACTGATGGCTGTGGTAGGGAGGGGGGACACTTTTGAGCCTTGCCACAGTCCAAAGTCAGCAACAAGTATAAACTGGGGAGAGGAGTGGCTGGAGAGCAGCCCTGCAGAAAGGGATCTGGGGGTGCTGGTCGGCCACAGGCTCAATAGCAGCCAGCAGTGTGCCCACGCAGCCAAGAGGGCAAACTGCATCCTGGGGTGCATCACAGTATAACCAGACGGTCAAAAGTGGTGATTATCCCACTGTATTCAGGGTTGGTGCGGCCTCACCTTGAGTACTGTGTGCAGTGCTGGGTCCCACCATTTAAGAAGGATGTGAAGGTCCTTGAATTCGTCCAGAGGAGGGCAACAAAGCTGGTGAAAGGGCTGGAAAGCATGTCCTATGAGGAGCGGCTAAGGACTTTGGGTATATCTAGTTTGGAGAAAAGGAGGCTGAGGGGCGACCTCATCACTCCGCTCTCTACAGCTTCCTGAGGAGGGGAAGTGGAGAGCGAGGTGCTGATCTCTTCTACCTGGGATCCAGTGATAGGATGCGTGGGAGCTCAAAGCTGTGCTGGGGGAGGTTTAGACTGGACATTAGGAAGCATTTCTTTACCAAGAGGGTGGTCAAACGCTGGAAACAGACTTCCTAGAGAGGTGGTCGATGCCCCAAGCCTGTCAGTGTTTAAGAGGCATTTGGACAAAGCCCTTAATAACATGCTTTAACTTTTGGTCAGCCCTGAATTGGTCAGGCGGTTGGACTAGATGATCGTTGTAGGTCCCTTCCAACTGAAATATTCTATTCTATTCTACTATTCTATTCTGTTCTGTTCTGTTCTATTCTAAATCAGAAGCGTATCGGCACACTCAGGGTACTCCTCCAGGCTCCAAAGCACCAGGCTTGTGTCCTTGGGGGTTTCTTCAGCCTCCTAGGACCCATGCTGAGAGGAATGCCCCCCACTCTCTGCTGCCATCCCAGGCTCACGGTTCTCAACGCCGCGTGGTGCAGGCAAACTGGGCAAGAAGCGGGCACTGTCCATCTCACCCCTGTCAGACTCTAGCATTGACCTGCAGACGGTAATCCGCACCTCACCCAACTCCCTTGTTGCGTTCATCAACTCCCGCTGCGCCTCTGCCAGTGGCTCCTATGGCCACCTCTCCATCAGCACCATCAGGTGGGCACCAGACTTCAGCCCTGGTGGCATGCATGCAGCCTGTCAGTCTGGGAGTGTGAATGCCGATTCCCAACTTGGGGAGTGCCTGGGGGGAGGGCTGGGGAAGGGGAGAGCAGAGTGGGACAATGGGTTAGGGAAGGAGTGGCTGGGAGTTCAGACACCTGGGGTCCCTGGCTCAAAAGACCTAAATTGCTGTCCTCTGGTGGTGTCATCTGGTCATCCCTCTTGCTCTTTGCAGTCCATCACTGGGGTACCAGAGTCCACCGGGTCAGCAGAAGGGCCAAGGCCACCTCTACAGCCACACTCCCGCACCACCACCATGTAGCTCCCATGAACACCTGTCCACCTGCCCAGGGCTCCTGCACCATGCCCCAGCTCGTGGGACCCTCAAACACTGCCAGGTAAGGGGGTCTTGCATGCATATAAGTGGTGCATCCCATATAGGTGGTGGTCCAGCGGGCATTGCAGTGCTGACTGCTTTCCACCTTTCCCCTGCCCTGGTAGCAGCTAAAGTTGGAGTGGAGCCTGAGCAGCCCTCTGACTGTCAAATACCCAGAGGAGAGGTCCGAGGGCGACATCTCCAGTCCAGCTTCCACAGGCACCCAGGTACTCCCCAGGCCTTGAGATCCCCCCACTTCCCCAGGGCTCTATACTTCTCCCTGGCACCACTCCCAGTAACGGGGAGCACAAAGGGTCGTACCTGGGAGTGCTTATCTAGCTATGCTCCCCCAGGACCCCTTGCTGGGGATGCTTGATGTTCGGGAAGATCTGGAGAAGGAGGATGGGAAACCTGAATCTGAGACTGTGTATGAAACCAATTGCTACTGGGATGGCTGTGCCAAGGAGTTTGATACGCAGGAGCAGCTGGTGCATGTGAGTTAGGTCCTGCCTGGGTACATCCAGTCCCAGAACCTGCCCTCAGGCTGCTGGCTGACGTCCCCCTGTGTCAACCCACAACTCCTACTCCAAGACTGTCCTATACTGAGCCGCTCCCCTCGCCCCCCCCTCCTCCGCCCTGAGAACTTACCACACAGGTGCACGATGTTGGAAGTTGCCCCTAGGAAGGGAGGGACACGCATTCTCCACTTCTTGTGGGCAAGTTCTTCGTGACCCTCCCATACCATGTCCCTAGGGGAAACGCCCAGTCTGGCTTTCCTCACCCCTGGGGCAGCTCTCCTGAACCACTGGTGCATCCCGACTTCCTCCTTTGCTCTTTGTCTCCCTCCAGACACTCCCAATTCTATATCCCCTTGACCACCCCTCAGACCACCTTGACCCCTATGTCTTGGTCCTCCCCAAATAGCCCCCAGCCATCTCCTGTATCCCCTGCCTCTTTTAGACACCATCTGACCACTCTGTTTTCCCCTGACCTCTGGTGTCTCCACCCACCATCCCAGTCCCTCTATGTCCATTTCTCCCATGATACTCTCTTAAGACATCTGTATCTCCCTGACCCTTGGTGCCCTCCCCAATGCCACCAGTGATGCCCCTTCTCTCCGCAGCACATCAACAATGAGCATATCCATGGGGAGAAGAAGGAGTTTGTGTGCCACTGGGCAGCATGTTCCCGGGAGCAGAGGCCCTTCAAAGCTCAGTACATGTTGGTGGTGCACATGCGACGTCACACAGGCGAGAAACCTCACAAATGCACGGTGAGCTGGCACGAGCCTTTGCAAAGCCTCAGCTAAGCTGTGGTGCCTTGCACCAGGCAGAGCTCAGGGCAGGGTGCGAGCTGGCCCGTCTGGTATATGGCATTGAGGGGGACGTGGTGGGGAAAATGAGGTGGGACAGACAGGGTAGTCAGGAGCATGGTAGTGCATGATGGAGTGGGGTTCATGGGTGGCAGGCCAGAGCCTGTGTGATCAATGGCATGGCAGAGATGCCCATGAGGTAAAGGGGTATGTAGCAGGCTGGGTACAGCATGGCCATGTGGCCAGCGCATAGTGAGGTGGCATGACATAGGCCGGAAGGGTAAAGGGCTGTGCAGTGGTGTGACAACATGCACCTGAAGGAGGGCAGGTGTGTTGTGCATTGGTTGGGAGGTGTAATACGTGTCCATGGCAGATGTGCCATGGGTATGTAGCGTGGGGGTGATGTGGTACAGGGTCTGTTGAAGGTGTGTGGCATGTTTCACCCTGCTTGCCTGCACAGTTCGAGGGCTGTAACAAAGCCTACTCACGTCTGGAGAACCTCAAGACGCATCTGCGCTCACACACGGGTGAAAAACCCTATGTGTGTGAACACGAGGGTTGCAACAAGGCCTTCTCCAATGCTTCTGACCGGGCCAAGCATCAAAACCGCACTCACTCTAATGAGGTACAGACCCATCTGGGGCTCTTTGCACCCCTTTGGGCTCCGTGTATGCCTCCTGATTAGTCCCGTACTCTGAAAACTCCCTGCATCCCTGTTTTTTTTTTCCTGTGTGCCCCAGCTGTCCTCCTTGCCTGCTCTAATAAAGCATAGCCCCCTGCTCCCTTCCTCGGTCACCTGCATTCCCACCAGGGTCTCTTTACCCCCTGCCCCACTCCTGTGGAGCACTGTCTGCATTTTTCCTCTGGCCCCCTATGACCTCCTCCAAGGCCCTGCTGTAGCACCTAACGTGCTCCCTGCATGGGGACTTAGCCTCTTTGATCCCTTCCCACCCTCAGTTCCCGGGCCTACTCGAGAAGGAGGGGAGGGGGATTTATTTCATGCCCAGCTGGTACTTTGTTGGGAGGGGTCTCTAGTTGGAGCTAACGCCCTCCCTTCACATGCCTACCTTTTTTCCTTGACAGAAGCCCTATGTGTGCAAGATTCCAGGCTGCACCAAGCGCTACACAGACCCCAGTTCCCTGCGCAAACATGTGAAAACGGTGCACGGCCCTGATGCCCATGTCACCAAGAAGCATCGAGGGGATGTGGTGCCAGGTCGTGCACTGCCCACCCCCAGTGGCCCCCCAGACATGAAGCAGGAGAAAGACACAAATGGCCCCACTGAGGCCCGGAAGGATGACAGCAAACTCTTGGTACCTGACTTGGCCTTGGTAAGGAGCTGGGGGCGTGATGACGGAGGGAGGCCGGACCAGGCCTGGTGGAGGAGTCAGTTTGCATGGTAGGGGAGTCATCTCCACATCTGGCAGGGTGCGGGCTCACAGGTTGCATTAAGTGTGTAGTGGATATCTCACCCCCTTTTCCTTGGTTAATGTTTTGGGTACCCCCTAGAAGCCGCAGCCCAGCCCAGGTGGGCAGTCATCATGCAGCAGCGACCACTCCCCACTCGGCAGCACCACCAACAATGACAGTGGGGTGGAGATGGCGGGCAACGCAGGTGGGAGCTACGAGGATCTGTCCACGCTGGAGGATGTGGTGCCTGGTGAGCCCATGGGCACCTCAGGGCTCATGGCCCTCCACAAGCTAGAAAATCTTCGCATTGACAAACTGAAGCAGATGAGGAAGCCATCATCTATCAAGGGCCTGAATTTGCCAGCCATCCCTGGAGCCGGTGAGACTCTGGTTCCCTCCCACCCGGATGCAGGGCCAGTCCCGTGGGCACTGTGTCAAGAGAGGTCTGGTTTGCAGCCAGAGAGGTTTCCACACCTTCCTTTCACTAGTGGTGGACCCCCACATCTGGGCTGTGACCCCTCTTTGCTGCCACCGCTTGAATATGCTTCCTGTCCCAGCAGGCACTAACCACGGAAGAGGCCCCATCCTGGTACTGGAGGTGGCTGCCTGTTCCTCCTCTGACCACTGGTGCCATGCTGTGCCCTGAGTTCCTTCGTGTAACTCCTCCTTTTCTTTTCTCAGGCCTGCCTGGGGGGCTGCCTGGGATCTCCGTGCTGCCACCAGCTGCCTCGCACCGGCGCATTGCGGAGCTGTCAGCAGCAGAGATGGGCATGCCACTGAACGAGCGCCGGAGCAGTGCCACCAGTACCGTAAGCTCAGCCTACACTGTGAGCCGGCGCTCATCTCTGGTGTCCCCGCACCTGGCTGGGCCATGTCTGGGTGGCGAGGCAGGGGCAATGCCCAGTGGGGCAGGCCTGGCAGACAGCTATGACCCCATCTCTCCGGACGAGTCGCGACGCTCCAGTGACGCCAGCCACTGTGGAGGGCTGCCAGGTGTGGGCAGCCTTACCCCGGCCCAGCGCTACCGTCTCAAGGCCAAATACGCTGCAGCCACAGGTGGCCCACCCCCAACTCCACTGCCCAACATGGAGCGGGTGGGCATGGGTGGCCACAGCAGCTTACCTGGGGACTACCTTGCGCCAGCCAAACCCTGCTTCCTTGCAAATGGTTTGCTGCGAAGGCATAGTTCCAATGACTACCCTGGCTATGCAGGCAGCGTTCCACCTCACCTGGTGCCTCGGAATGGTGTGCGGCGGGCCAGCGACCCTGCCCGGACCGTGGCCAACCCTCATGCTGTGCCCAAGGTGCATCGTTTTAAGAGCATGGGTAATGTGAATGTGCCAGGAGTGGGCAGAACTGCTCTGCAGCCCTTGGGTGGTTCTGATGCCAACCTTCAGCGCCATGTCTTCTCCCCACGCCCACCCAGCATCAGTGAAAATGTCTTCCTGGAGAGCGTGAGCACAGAGGGCCCTGGCGCAGCCACGGAGTCTGGCTTGCTAGAGATGGAACAGTACTTGAATTACCCCGAGGAAAGCTTCCCATGCCAGGGGACAGGTGTGGAGCGCCAGTGTGAAGGCCTCTACAGCAGCGCTCACCGGATCACGGAGGGTATGCAACTGAACCCAGGAGGGCACAGGGACATGGAGGAGGGGTTGCTTCAGTCCGAGTTCTCCCTCCCTCAGTGCCAGATGAACCAGCACTTCACGAGTATGCATGCTGGCAACGGGTCCATGCCAGCTCCTTGGGATGAACCTTCCCAAGGCAATCTGGAGATGAGATCTGGGCAGTCAAGTGTCAGTGCCTCTGCTGCTGCCATGTCTGGGCCACACTGTCACCATCTAAGTACTGAGTACCCACTACCCAGTTCTTGTGAGCAGCAACCCAAACTTGTGAGCTCATGCCAGGACAGTGGATTTTCTGGGGGGCACCGGCTTAACCGACTACAGATCAAATCTGAGCAGCGTTACCCAGCACCTGCCCCAGCACTTGCTCCCTGCCAGAATGCCAAGCTTGCTGGACCCATGCAGCCTCCTGCATCATTTGGCCAAGCTATGAATGTAGGGCCTGATGGTTACCAGTCCGAGGAACAGGCACCTGTCAGTTTCATGGGCATGCTGAGCCTGGGCGCTAGAAGAGCCCAGACCCCCACCATGCAGACCAAAGAAGTGATGGTCCGTAGCTATGTGCAGGCCCAGCAGGCTCTGATGTGGGGAGACCAACTAGCCTCCAAGGGAGGGGAGGCTGGCATGGGGTTGAGCAGTGAACCTGGGCAGTGCCAAGCTATGCAAGCACCACTGTACCTCAGCCCCAGGTACGCTGGTTACCAAGCCAAACCAGATCACCTGCAGGGTCTGGCAGAGACCCAACACCTCCTAAATGCCCCATGCTTCAACCCAGAGATGGTACCACACCCACCTGGTGGCCCTAAACCACCCGGTCACCAAAACAATCTGAACTATGCGGGCAACCTGGCTCAGCCAAGTCATTCCTATGAGGGAGTGGAAGCCAGTTCCCGGCGTGTACCTCGCTTGCCCCCTGCCCGCCCCACACCTGAGGGGCCCGGTAATGCCCTGCTGTATTACCCAGGCCAGGGCACACATGTGCAGGTGGGCAAAGGTGGGCATAAGCTGCTGGGCCAAACAGCAGCAAGCTGTGGGGGTCCCGGGCATTATGGTGGGAGCTTGGAAGGACTCAAAGGCAGCTCATATTACTACCTGGATTCGGGGGAGCAGGTGGCCAACAGCCTGGACTCCCTGGACCTGGAGAATACGCACCTTGACTTTGCTGCCATTGTGGAAGATCCAGAGACACCTGCACTGCTGCCTGGGCCCCCAAGCCCTGCTGGTGGCCTCCTGCTTCCTGCATCTGGTGGTGCCAACATGGCTGTGGGTGACATGAGCTCCATGTTGAGTACTCTGGCAGGGGAGAGCCATTTCCTCAACTCCCTGTCCTAACTAGGAGGTACCAGCCATCAGGTGGGCAAGTCTGCAACC